AGTTAGCACATTATCTTGAAGTCAAAAATCGGGTTTTTTTAAAATCACACACAAACATGCTTTTCAGACATGTTGGCCAGCCTTTATAGACAGGGAAAACAGAAACTAACTCTGATAAAACCAAATCGTCGATTGGCATTGGAATTATAGCGCCCTTGCTTGACCTTATCTAATCGCGGAATTTCGGTAAATTTAAACAGCAAATACGAGTACATTAGGTTTGCTGCCGCGGTGGTGCACCTGTTTTATTTTTTTTTTTTCGTATATTGTTGGCCCAGAGATTGTCGCGTTGGCGTTCAATTGAATTGGCCCAGCTTATCGCCGCGGTCTGAGCAGATAAAACGCTTTTCAACTGGGTTATGTCATTGGCAGGCGTGACTAAGCCAGAAACACCCATCGCAGCTCAGAAATTTTTCGCTGAAACAGATTGAAGCTCTCTCTTTAAATGGCGACAAATGCAAACAACAACAGACCCCACCCACCAGATATCCATTAATGGCAGTCAATCGGGGCGGGGTCGTTAATCGAGAGGGAAAGGGGGAGGGAGGCTAATGCCTAATTGGTAATCCATTTGTATGCACAATCAGACGCCCACGGCATCCCGAGGAAGCTTCTATATCAAGGCAAACACACAGTGCCTGCCGAAAATGTATGCCTTGAAGCAGGACTCAAGCTGTGCGTATTTTATCGGGACTATTTATTTATGTTTATGGCCATGACTCATGGTGTTGGCCATAGAGTCTTGATCTCATGATCCACCAAAAGTAGTTAAACTTTTTCAACTTTAACCATCAATATCCACCTACTGAATCACTTATGATGATGACATACACATTTGTGTCATGTTTGAGGTTCTAGTTGTTGACTGTAAGGGTCATAACCTCATGATACCCCAAAAAAAAGTACTTATTTAACTTTAGTTTTGCCTTGCCACATAAAGAGTGTATTAAAAGTGTTTTTTAGTGATTTAATGAATCATTTTTATAGATAAAGAATCTTTAGACGTTTATAGTTACAAAAATAAATTTCGATTTTACAGTTGTCATAATAATGAATACTAAGTTTATTACCTATTCACAGCTTCATCTTTTGGCTGTAAGCAAATTCGTTTTAAAGAAGTTTGACGGTAAATTCAACTTCAGACCAGTCTCAACTGGAAATTTATGCTGAAGCCAAGTTTGCCGGTTTACCGTTGTATAGTCGACTCTTTTTTTTGCCGGTCGTAACCGGTTTCATGGAGTTTAGTTTGGTTTTATGAATGACGGTTAGTTAAACATGGTTTTGGGTACATTTTTAGTGCATCTGAACTGAGGTCCAAACAACTGTGCTGGATGAGCCAAAAGCCAGTCATTTGGCATTATTATATGGCAAACACATCATCAGGTATTCATCATACACCATATGATCGATGAAGTCAGCCCAAGAACACATTGAGTCATTGAAATCTATATGGATGTTGGCTTATTTTTCAACGGAAATAAATAAGAAACATGTCTTATGTACAAAACCCATTGCTCATGATTAGTCTAAGCTAAAGATCAACAAACTATGAAGATCAGTCAAAAGCCCTGGCAAACGTTTGTTTTAGCCAAGTTAGCAGTCGAATCACAGAAACAAATTGGGCACGTAGAGCGAAGCGATATATTTTAATTAAAAGCTGTTTGCATTCTGCGAGAGCTGTAAAAATCGCTAATTAAATTAGGCGACGCCAGATGAGGCTGAAAGTGGTGTAAGGTGATGGGGATGGGTGATAAAGTGGGCTGGTTTTCTTATCAAAAGGCGCAGAGAAGGCTAAACAGAATAAGAAAAAGGTGCAAAGAGGGCGACAAGAAAATTGGATTATGTGGTTAAGCGGCGTCTAGCAGGAATTTTTCTTTATTTGCAGCCCTTTTCTCCTCCTCCCCCGCCATTCGCCTGTGCCGTTACAATAAAATTCTTGTGCGAAAAGGCAAAGTGGAACAGGCAGCCAACACAGACACACTCATATACACACCGACACGAACACGGCGAGCCGAACGAATGAACGAGCGAAGCGGACGAACGAAGACGAAGGCGAAACAGCAAAATAACCGCAATGCGGCAAATGAAACGGTTATGGAAGAAAACAACAAAAGCAAGGCACCGATAAAAGTGCCAAGCGCAAGGCGCAAAAAAAATGAAATACCGAAAGAAACGGAAAGAGAGAGACGCAGCACAAAACGGAACTGATAACGAACGAAATAATTGCACACAGAGAGAGACGCGAAAGTGTGTGAAACGGTAATGCGAGAACGCGTCGAAACGGGTAAAATGAGCGCCGAGTGCGCAAGAGAGAGGGAGAGTAAAAGAGAATCAAAAGAATTTTTTCACCATTTCCATGGGCCGTTTCTAACCTCAATTTTTGCGGCCAAATGAAATGTGCGGTAAATAAAAAATACGACCAGAAAGCATAGAGCGAACAACGAACGGCGGGACAAAGAGAAGACCAATAATGCCGGGCCCGGCGACTTTGTTGTTCATCAATATATTCAGCATATTCACACGTTTCCCACTGATAAGCAAAATAATGGAGGACTGCGAGCGGGTGGCTTTTCTATAATTGCGGGGATCTTTGAAAAATTGCTGATAAAATTGTCGATGGCAACCCGTGTGTGCATAATGCTACAAATTGGCCAAAATCATATTTGATTTATGATTTTAAAGATACAGGGAAGAAATAGGTTGGGGCGGAAAATGAGGTGTTGCTCGAGATGCTGATAAGAATTTCCACATTTCCACGACTGATTGGGTTTCGATGGGTTTTTTTTTTGCCAGCGTCATGGAATTATTATAGGGCATACTTGATCGAGTCAACATTCGTGTGACAGCCTTGGTAATATAATAATTTTGACGAGTGACGTGACATGTTTGTAAATTCTTGCCATTGACATTGCTATTTAATTGTACTACTTATTTTCTGCGACCTCAGGGGCAAAGTTCGACTTTTGATTAACTCTGTTTGGATTTCGCCATTAGAATAAAGAAGTAATACAAAACTAAACTTTAAAATTGCCAAGACTTAAAAAAAAATTGTAACCTTGTTCCAACGATCAGATTTAAAATTTAAGAAGTAGTTTGCATGGATGATTCCAAATTATTCCACTAGCCATTTCCAATGCAACTACCAAAATGTACTTGAACCAGGGTGTATCACCTCGGGTCAATGGGTTATGCACAAGGGGGTGTATTATGTTTGGTTTTTGTTCGTGTAAAGCAATATTGGTTTGTAGAAAAAACCAGTTTTTTCTACCCATGAGCATGATATATTTTTGGGGTGCGAAATGTAAACGAAATTCCCGGGGACAGCTGCTTTTCGACGGGGTGCTTGGGGTTGAGGTGTGTGCATGTGTGTGTGTGCGTGTGTGGAAAGCCGTTAAAACCATATAAACAATGTCTAATTGGAAGCCATTCGTCCCCTCCCGCTCGCACTAATGGTAATTGCCCTGGGGGTCGCTGTCTGACTTTGATTTTTCGCAAAAACTGTGAAAATTTCAATGGAAAATGATGGCCGCACGTTGTGTAAACACAGAGAATAAAGATGCACATGTTTTCCAGGCAACCCCATAAACTTACCATTTTTGTAGGTTTTTTTTTTTTTTGTTGCTAGAGTGACGAAGTTTTAATCCGCTGCGGCTACTGCTGCTGCTTGGGTGTTGGTATGTGTGTAAGTGGAATTACGGAACGCGCGGTTAACTTTATTTTTACTAATTAACACACTGCAAAAGAAGCAAGAAGAGGTTTTGGGGGATTACTTTTCGGGAGTCTTCAGGTAAGAAGAGGAAAACTGCCAGCTTGGAGAGAAGAAAAAAGCGTCCAAAGCAGCGACGCCGACGCTTTTTTTTTCTCGCCGTGGCAGTTTCTTAAATTCTGTAGTGTTGTTGGTTCAGCCGAAATTAATACAAATTTTCGCCTTGCGTTTCTTTCTTTTTTTTTTTTTGTGGCTTTCATTCGGTTTTTTTTCATCTATTGTGCGAAATATGCCAAACACACGCGCGCACACGGCAGAATTCTCGTTTTATATAGTAGATATGTGGCGGGGAGAGCTAATACATATAAGAGTTGCTCGGATTCGGTTTTTATACAGATATTTGTTTCATTTTTTGCTCGTTGGTTTTCTTAATTTTTGGCTGGCGCCGAGAAATTGGCTTTTCCGCGGAACTTTTGCAGCTCCTGGTCCTCGGGTGTGTGTGGTTTAGCTTTAGCTGTTTGTCGGCCCAATGCTGCTCTATATGTAATATCTGGTTCTGGCAACTCACGATCCTAATCTGATTTTCCGTCCGCAACGGTCGACGACTCAAAAAACTTTGTGTTCGAAATAGCGCTGCGTCGCCATATATACGGTTTTATTTTCGCCGATATCAAAAGCAGCTCTCTCGCGAGCGCCAGAGCGAAACGGTTAGCCAATCGGTTAGGCTCTCTCTCGCCTCTCTCTTCTGCAGTGTCTGCATGTGTGCTTTTGCTTTCCCCCGCCTTCGTGGGGCGAAAATTTGATTTTGGCTTTGTAACGGTCGCGCCGGCGCTTTTGCCACAATGTTTGGGGTGTGGTTGTACCCTGTAAATAAATTGCTTTCATAACGCGAATTAAAGTCCTACACTTCACAAGTCGAAAAAATTGTATAAGCTATGAAAAAACATACATAGTTCTATAAGTAGGTCTCCAAAAAAATAAAATAAAATGTTTAATCAGATGAAGATAATTTCCAAAATTGTGAACAGTTTAAGATTTTTTTGTTTTTGATTAAATAAATTTAACATAGTTTTACATATATAATTTGTTAATTTTAAGTCAATTTTTAATTTTTGTTGTGGTAACAATCTTAAACCAGAAATGTAATGGCATCATATCTTATGAAAATAAATTATTTTATTTGTGCGTTAACAAATTCAAAATTCAGATTGAATAGGAGTTTCCATTACCAGCTTCAGAATTCAAAAAGCTCAATCTGTAAATAAATTCCAAGCTACTTTAGGACTTTTGGCCATTTAAGTTTAGTTAAATTTAATAAAAGTTAGGTTGTGCTAGCAAAACTGAAATTTAAAACATGATCATCATAGTTCCCCAATTTTGTTACTTTTCGACAGGCTCTTCGTCACTGAGTCTTGACGTCTTATCCAACGACCTTGTATCTTGACTTTCTCGCACGGCGACCATGGACTTTCTTTCCGAGGGTCCTGAAGTGCTGGACAGAAGCTGGCGCTTGATGCTGTACATATCGCCCATGCTGGCACGAGGATCACGCTGGCGACCCACTATACTCATGGCACTGCGGGTGGTGATATAGGTGGTCGGCTGGCGGGACCCTCCCCGCTCGGTTGCCTCCTGTTTCTCCAAGTCTCGGCGCATCTGCAAGGTCAAGCGGGCCTCCCGCACCCGCCTCTTCACCTCCCGCTCCTCGAATTCTTCCAAGTCGATCTGATAATCGACCACCGGACGGGCCTGACTTACGCCCTTCTTTATATAGGTCTCCAGCTGTTCGTCGGTCATGTTCTTGGTCTTGATCAGCTCGCTGAATGCCATTTTGGCCTCCAACTGCTTGGCCTGGGAGCGTTTCAGGCGATAGAAGTCCTCTCGCTCGAACTCCTCAAGTTCCCCGCATATATAATTATACGTATTTATCAGGATGGGTATAACCTAAACCGACATTAGCGAAAATATTTATTTAACAAATTAACTTAAACAAGAAAGAAAGCAAACTTCGGCAAGCCGAAGTTCATATACCCTTGCAGCTATTGCAAGAATTAAACATTTTTGAAAACATTAAAATTATAATTTACTTGCGTATAAGTTTAAAAACATTGAAGCTATGATGATTTGCAGCTCAATTATTTGATCGTTATTTTATATATTTTTATTGTTCCTATGGGAGCTATATGATATAGTCGTCCGACTTTGATGAAACTTAAACCGTAAATTGGAAATATTTAACCATTACTAAATGTCGAAGAACTAAACAAAAAATTAAAAAACAGAAAAGTTATAATTTTTTTCATTTATTTCTCCGATTGCTCCTATGGGAGCTATATGATATAGTCGTCCGACTTTGATGAAATTTAAACCGTAAATCGAAAATATTTAACCATTACTAAATGTCGAAGAATTAAACAAAAAATTAAAAAACAGAAAAGTTATAATTTTTTTTCATTTATTTTTCCGATTGTTCCTATGGGAGCTATATGCTATAGTCGTCCGATTTTGATGAAATTTTTACCATAATTCTGAAATATTTAACCATTGCTTTATGTCGAAGAACAAAACAAAAAATTAAAAAACAGCAAAGTTATAATTTTTTTTCAATTATTTTTCCGATTGTTCCTATGGGGGCTATATGCTATAGTCGTCCGATTTTGATGAAATTTAAACCATAATTCTGAAATATATAACTATTGCTATATGTCGAAGAACTAAACAAAAAATTAAAAAACAGCAAAGTTATAATTTTTTTTATTTATTTTTCCGATTGTTCCTATGGGAGCTATATGCTATAGTCGTCCGATCCGGCTCGTTCCGACTTATATACTACCTGCAATAGAAAGACAACTTTTGGGAAAGTTTCATGCAGATAGCTTTAAAACTGAGAGACTAGTTTGCATATAAACGGACGGACAGACGGACAGACGGACAGACGGACGGACGGACAGACGGACAGACGGACATGGCTAGATCGACTCGCCTAGTGATGCTGATCAAGAATATATATACTTTATAGGGTCGGAGATGTCTCCTTCACTGCGTTGCAAACTTCTGACTGAAATTATAATACCCTCTGCAAGGGTATAAAAATAATAATATAAGGCAGTTTAATAAATAGCTTTAACTTATATTTGTTTGGGTTTGCATTTAGCATTATAAAAGCTACCCAAAGCTTAAGACTAGAAACTGGGCCTTCTTAAAATCATTACAGATACATATATATTTTAGCAGAATATTAAATATTTAAAAGAAAAATTTTTAATTTAAATGTCTAAATAATAGAAATAAAATGTATAGCTATAATTAACGATATTTTGCTGGAAATGCAGTACTATGGAGAAATGGCGAACTGATCTTGGGGAAGCTTTTTTTCTGTAGGCTTCATACACTTATTTTTTTATAATGATCTTAACATCATATAACAAGCTTGACCAATTTTTTAACAAAATTTACAAATAAAAAATAATATAGATATTTTTGATAGTATAAACACAAAATAACCAAATGCTCCATTATAACCGAAATCGTTATAGATCTCAACAGAATATTAACTTATTATAAAAATATTTGTGGAAAATACAGAATTACATTATAAAATTAATCAAAGAGCCCCTATGTTGTACGATTTTTACAATATCCAATAACAGCTTGAGCAATAACTTAATTTGTTTTTAAATAAATTTGAAAATAAAAAAATCAATCGATGATTTTGGTAAATTCCGATAGTACATATAAACACGTAATTACCACATGCTCCAGGGCATTGACCCTCATGTTGGTCTGCAGGGAGGCTGCCTCCAGCATTCGCACTTGATATTCGAGGGAGGCGTATTCCACCAGTTCTCGGAGTGCCTTCGTATAGCAGTCCCTGATCCGTTGGACCTGCATTCCACCACAACTGAGACCCGCCAGTGGAAAGGCTCCTCCCCCCCTCGTCTCCAGCTCCAGGCAGTCGAGCTTGACGCCCACGATTTTGATTTGAGTGCGACGCAGAAAGGCGGTCGCCACGTGGCTGTGGCTCACCATTTGGGGCTTAAAATCGGCGCCCAGGAGATTGGCCTTAGCCATCGAGAAGATCGCTTGGCGCATCTTCTCGTCCCCCTTCTCGTCCTGGTCGAAACGCAAGCGCCTCAACTCCCGCATCTTCATGTCGATGGCGTCCCGCTTCCGCTTCAGCAGACCCACGCCCCTCCTAGCCGCCAAAACGCGCTGCTTCATGATCACCGAATTGGCCCGCGACGGAAAGACAGGCAAAATGTCGCGTTTGGCCATGGCAGAGGCTTTTGATTTGGGTTCAGATCAAGAACAGATTGGCCTGGGCGAATTTCTGAATTTTTTCTTTACATGTATTCGAAGGGTTACTGTTTTAAAATTACAAACATATTTTCTGAATTCAATTCCAAATGGGATTGGTTACACTTAATTATATAAACATATGCTTGATGATAATGGTTTGATGATGGTTGCAAAATTATGAAACATTTTGAACCATATATTTTGTGTATCAATTCTTTTTATGCAAATTCCTTTTATGTTTATCGGGTATATTATGTTTGTCATGAATCAACTGTTTTTCGACTTCAGTATGTTTCATACGCACATATTAGTTAAAAACATGATTCAAGGTTTCTTAAACCGCAACAAAACAATCCTTTAGTTTCAAGAGTGATAAACGAGAATGCGGAGTATTTTAGGTTTTTTGATTACTAATTGAATTTTATTTTACATTTTAATTTTTAAAGTATATTTTGTATATAATTATAAATATATATTTATATGTTTTCTCAGATATTTTTTATTTTAAACAATAATTACGCATACGAAGCGTTGCTTGAAAAAATGTGGATAAGAAATGGATTAACAAATTGTGGTTACAAACGATATCATTATTAATTGAATAAATTGCCTCTTTTGTTATAGGGGAAATCCCTAACTTGGCCAAAAAAATCCGTGGTCAGGTCAGCGGATGCGTGTGCAATTACAATGCGGAATGTATGGCCATTCCACTGGGATTTTGCATTGGACATTGGACGTTGGGCATTGGGCATTGGCGATTTTGCGCATTTTCCAGCTGCTGCTGTACGATTTCCTTTGCCGCAGCGAGTTGTCGCAATGTGGCGCCGCTTGGTGCAACGCAGCCTTGGCGCATTTGCAACGCATGCCAACAAGTTAAGTATGTTAACCTCTGGAAAATTAGACATGCCAGAAGTGGCGACTGAGGGGGGCGGCCTGAAGGGCTTGAGGGGTTGGAGAGGGTTTGTGGGGCCTGAGGGGCCTGAGGGCTAGGTAACGAAAACGAAAATGAAGTAACAATGCAGCAAACATCGTTTCGGGCCAGGCCAAAAGGGCGTTTGTAGTCGCAATTTGTAGTTGTAGTTGTCGTTGTCGTTGTCGCTTGGCGACGACAGCAATGCGCCATTTTTCGTTCTCCCCGCAAGACATGAAAATTCGGCTTTTCCCTCCTTCTCGCTGGCAGTGTGTGTGCGTGTTGGGTAAACATTCTGCCAGGCGTTTTCATTCTCTCTTGGATTTTCGCAATCGCAGAGGAAGCCCCACAAGTCGCCCTTTCACCCCCTTAAAAAAGAAAAGACCCACCTCAATGCGTTGGCCCAATTTATCGCAATTCAATAAAAATTTAAAAATAATTCCAAAAACCTAGCATATCCATTTTTATTGCATACTTCTGAGAACCGTTTCTAGATAAAAAATCTTATTTTTATTTAAAAAACATTTTTTTTTATTTATTAAATAGTAAATGTGATTTTTTGAACTTTACCCTGCAAGAGAGTTTGTCCTTGTGTCTGTACTTAAAATAAATTTGTTATGGGCGATAAGTCCCAAGTAAACATGATTTAATGCCAAGTAAATATTTGGCTTTGCTCTTACAGGATTATTAATTTGCATACATGTGTATTCATGTATGGTTAGGCAATTTATGCTACTCAACAAAGGGCAAACAATATAAGAGGTAAAGTAAACTAAACTTTTCAAAATAAAAGTCCTTGAAAAAAGCGACATAGAATGCAGAATTGTACAATATAGAAATGATGGTAAATAAACTATATACATAAGAGGTGTTCTGGCAAAAAAAAAGGACATTGAATGCACACTTTAGTAGTTGCCAATATATTTGCACCTCTACATATAAATTGTACAATGTAGAAATGATAGTTAAAGCTCCAGATGTCCTTCTATTTCGATTTCTTGCCCTTGCCCTTTCCCTGGCGCTTCTTCTTGCGCTGCTCCTTTTTCCATTTGCGCCAATACTTCTGGATCTTGGCCGCAGCGCGGTTCATCATGAAGACCACTAGCTTCTGCTGCTGAATGCGTCGCTCCTCCTCTTCGCGCTTCACCACAATATTTCTGTAGACTCGCTCCTCCTGCTTGAACACGACCATAAAGTCGTCGAGGATCTTCTTGGCCTCCAGGAACTGATCCTGCGCCACCAGATTCTCCCGCATCTTTTCGCCCACACTTGTATCGTATTTTTTGAGCATACTCTGTAGTTGCAGAAGCAGTTTGTTTCTAGTTGCGAGGAAAGAATATACATATGTAGATCATAGATTAATTTAGAGATTTGTTTCATACTTCTCGCTTCGCAACTCATGTTCTTCGTCCAGATTCTTCTTAGTCATCTTTTCGTAGCTTTCCTGTGCCTGGATCAGCTCTTCCTCCAGCTCTTTTTGTCTGTCCATGCTGCCCTTGTGATAACTACGCATGGTGCGATTACACTTTTCACTATTTGAAAAGGGTAATTGATTTAAAATATAGGTATTTATGTTAAAAGAAAAAGGAACGCTATAATCTAGAGCCCTTAACATTATGAACCAATTTGTGTGGCAAACAAAAATAAAGGGGAAATATCTAACCGCAAGATCTTTTTATCTGCTAACTTTAACGTCGTCAATATTTAACTTGATTTGTTAAAAGTTCTTAATGATTATGTATCGCATAGCAACACTGTGTCTGTACATTTTTTCACCTTAAATAGGTTCAGAAGCAAGTTGTCCAGAAAGAAACTTTAAGCGAGGTATTAAAATTCATACAAAATTAAGTTAAAGTTAAGAAATAATGTAAATTCTGTACGCTGAGTGTATACGTTTGTATAATTAAAGCCTTTTAATTGATCTTTGCTAAGTCAGAGTTAAAAAGTGTTACTTACATTTCGTTCTGAATGGCCACGTTGTTTTGCCACTTCTTATTGGCCAGATCCTCCTCGACCTTCATCAGATAGATTCCCTTGGCGGCCGTCTTCCACTTGCCAATTACCTTCTGAAAGGCCAGGCTGGCCTTAAGCTCCTTGATCTTTTTCTGGATGTCCACATTCTGGTGGTAGATGGCATGTAGCTTTCGCTCCTTGGTGATCTCGCTTCGCGACGAGCGGTGCAGATGGACGTGAGCGCTTTCGAGGAGAAACTGAAAGGCGGCCAGCAACTTTTGATCCCTGTCGTTAAGGTTGTGCTTCAGGTGCGGGAAAAACCGATGAATGCTATGGTTGACCAGAAAGAAATCCACAATACGCATGGTGTTGTGATCGTGTGGCAGCTTCGAACGTCCAGTCTGCTTTCCGAGATGACGAATCATACTATCGATGGGTTCCAGAACCTCCTCATAGCAGGTGCCCGTCAGAACGCTCTTTAGCTTTTCAGGATGCTCCAATAACTTGGGTATGATCATAGCGATCTTAATGCGCTCCTGCGACATCTTGAGCACCCGCTCAACTCCCTCCAGTCTTACCTGGCGTTCGGCGGTTGTATCTATAAAGGAATTGAGTTACAACATAAAGACTATATTGACTACAGTTAATACCAACCCATTTTGACTTGTAAGCTCTACGTATCCCAGCTAGTTACATTTATCTTTAGTTATATTATTATTATATATTATATTATATATTATTATATTATATAAGTTATATATCTTGTCTTGCTTTTGTTTTGCACTATATTTTTTTAGAGAAAACTTTTTTACAAGCTTTACCAGCGTCATTAAACTCTAGAATCTGTAGCATTAGGTTGAGATATTCTGGAACATCTTAACGTTGCCGATATATAATAAATTCGTTAATATAATATTTATGCTTAGGGAGTTTTGAGTATCCTTGAATATTTTCTGTAAGTATTTAACAGGGTACCAATCTGACTTGGTGTAATGCAACTTCTGTAATTGTTTATTCCACAATTCTTGGTGTGATTTTTAATTTCCTTGTGTATGCTTGTGTCGAGGTCTATTCGAGTTCTGAGCCTAGTTTGTTATTGTTTTTGATGGATAGGCAAACAAACATGGCTTACTGTGTTTACCAAGTTGCCTGGCTACAATGGCGGAACGTGTGGGAATAGAACCCTCTCCGATCAAGGAGCAAACTTATGGCAGTCGAAAAGGGGGCGTGGTGCGGGGCGGTAGATTTGAATGGCACTTTCATGGCAATGCCTGGTAAAAACTTTTGCCAAGTGCAGTAGTTGACAATGAAGTGGGTAGTGGGTGGTGGATGATGGGTGTGCGACTGTGGGTGGTTTGTTGGCCATGTCGCATTATGTCAACTGACGTGGCATGAATGAAAGCTGCTGCAGCAAAGCAAACGAGGGAAAAAGCCATGCAGAGGGGACTGCTTCGAAAAAAGAAAACCATAAGAGCATGAAACGAACTTGTGAATGCAGAACAATGTTGGTGAGTTGGGGAGATGGTGAACAGTTCCTCACTCAGGTGGAAAATTTACCTAATGAAAATGGTATGAAAGGGGTTGCCAGAGTAGGGTTGCAATCTGAAAACCCTTAGGCGCATCTGCCAAAAATCACATTTTCTAGTACAGTGGGGCTTCAATAATTCAATCTAATAAATTACTTTTAGGTAGTTGAGCTAAAACACTTAAATATTTAAAAATGAAAAAAAAATTTTCATTTGTCAACAAAAATATAAAAAACTATATAATTTCCTAAAGAAAAATAATATATATTCTGTTTGTTTAAAATAAATAAATAAATATTTTTTCCAAATTTGTCAAAAGCCCAGCATTTCGTTTTCGTCCCAATTCCGTTTTATTACCGTTTCCCCATTTTGCTCGTCCCAGGACGAAAAGCAACAAGTAAGAAGAAGCATTTGCTGCGAGGCCAAAAAGTTTTTTCCAGGCACCATTCGAGTCCAATACAACAACAAGGACAACAACAACAACAATGGCGGCGATGACAAAAATGAATGGCGAACATTTGCTGAAATAGTCGCAAAGACCCCGTTTCTCCTGTCTCTCTCTTACGAAAAAAATGTGCTCGCTTGTCTGCGTAAAATGCTGCAATGCGAATCAGCAGGAAAAAATGAAGAGCAAGAAAAAGAAAAGAAAATAAAATTGAACAAGAAATAAAATTTGTTGTTGGCTGGTAAAAAACGCGATGAACGATAGATGAACCATTGGCCAAAAAGAGAGATATGTAAGTGAGAAAAAACCAAAAAAAATGACGCATAAGCAGGAGGTGAGAGAGAAGAGAAAGAGAGAGTGCCTCAGAAAAAGGCAGCAAAATATGCTTGTCTAAAAGAGAGAGAGACAGAGAGAGGGATGACAAACGAGGTAGAGGAAAAGTAAGCTGAGATAAAACAAGTGAGCGGGAGAGCGCCTTGATGTATGCAGCAAAATAAGTTATTTTCGCTGTTGCCTTTTCTGAGACATTGTAAAAGAGAGTCCTGCGTATACGTAACAAATGGCCGCGCAAACCCTCAAAACAGAAGTACGCTAACGGTACTGCAAAGAAGGAGCAGCCCAAAAGAGATAGTTCCAAAATGGCTCTCTCTCTCTCTCTCTCTCTTTAACCCACATTCTCTCAGCTGAGCTCGCCTTTACCGTTAACCGATTACAGCCCAAGAACCGCTTACCATTTACCGTTTCGGGCCGTCTGGCCCTGGCTCATTATGTCCCGTTGCCTTGGCAGTATTGTTGTATATTTTTATAGTCCTCACTCGACTGTTTCCTTTTGAGTTTCAATTCTAGCCATAGCCCTCTATCTACATTTCACAGAACTGTGGGCCCGTTATGCTCGGCCTGGCCGCATTGCAGCTATAAATTTGTTTGTGGTTCACATTTGCCTTGGAAGATTACTTTCGGCCACAGTCACACAGCCCTAAGGAAAAATAGAGAAGAGGATAGAGAAAAGAGGAGCGAAGAGACCGTGGAACAATGGACTCAAGGAAAGGGAAACGAGAAACAAGAAACGACTAACTAACTGTGCTTAATGGTGGGTGGTGGTTCGTGGTCGAAGAGGATGGGGTGGAAACCCCATAAAGAACCTTTTTGAGAAAGTGTTATTATAATGCTCGGTCTGCCAACGGGAAGGTCAGGTTGTTGGGTCTTACCAGCGGAAACTAAAGATATATGTACATATGTATGTATGTATGTATAAGCCCCTGGGTCTTGCTTAAGCTAGATGGGATGGTGTAATCACGATAAAGTAAGGACTACGGTAAAAGCGTTTTCAATCTTTAAATTCTTGATTCCATTATTATACGAGTAGGAATGGGATGTTTAAAAGCAGAATTTTGGGGAAAAAACATTTTTTGTTTATTTTTTATAGTTTTAGAACTAAGAATTTAAAAATAATTTATTTAACATTTTGAAATGTTTGTTGAGAACAAAATATTTAAATACTTGCTATAAGAATATAATTATAATTGTAAGTAAAAAAAGAGCTTACGAGAAATATATAGTACCTACATACCAACCGAAGAAATAAAATTTAATTAAAACTAACTTATGGCAGTTATACTTCCTCTGATAGGATAAAGACAGAAATTAAGGCAGTTATTTTGCTAAGCATCCATTCAAGCATCCTCATGAGAAGAATTTTGCAGCTAAAAATATTTTTGGAGAACAGATATAGTTTCCTCTTTCAGAAGTTAGTGGTTCTCGAAAAGCTTTCAGTTGCCAGGCGGGATCCATTTGGGCGGGCACCTGGTTTTGTCACCTGAGCGAGGACCACAGGAAGCGTTCGCATTGGCAAATGAAGTGGTGCCCAGCCCATTGAATCCTGCCGCCCACCTGGACAAGTTTCTGCTGAATTTTTCATGGCTTTTTCATTTTTTTTTTTTTGCGTTTGTTCTCTGCCTCGTTTCCGTTTGGCAGTTACACTTTGGACTCTAGTTTTGGGTCTGTTCCGAGGCAGTCTGGCATGTATTTTGAGTTGGTAATGTTTGGCACTTTTTATGGAGCAACTTGCACTCGAGTTGCCCCGAGAACTTTTGGCTTTTGCTTCCGTTTGGTTTGACTTGCCAACCTTCTCTGTAATTTGAATGTTCTGAACTGTGAAGCGAGCGACAGAACAAACTGTCGTAAGGCCTTGGAAAGAGTTAACTTGGCTAATAAAGCGAATCCATCCAGCCCCTCCCACTCGGCTCTCGGCTGTTCCGAATTTTTGTTGCTATTAGAAAAGTTTTGGTTCGCTTTGGCGCACATTTTTCTTTAGTTTTTTTCTTTGATAATTTAATAAACTATCAAAAGTTGAGAAAGATTTAACTTTCGCTACGCTAGAAAAACAAAAGAAATTGAAATTCAAGCAGGATTGCCGAATGAAGGATTCCAGGACCTTGCTAAGTTTTACAAAGATTTTAAGCAAACAAGTTCATAAAACTTTAATCGGATCAATTGTAGTTGTTGGCTTGTTTTAAAAAAATGTGTTCGAAATGTTTTAATAATTCTAGCACCGACATCCTTAACTATAATAATCGAAAACGTAGTCATACCATAAATAATATTCTAGTAATTTTTGCATTAGGTATTTAAATTACTTTTCTGTTTCCGCTTGCATATTTTTGTCACGCCCTGTTCTTTTCTATCTAAGTATGGCGGATACTTAATTGGATATTTTATTTCTTATATATCCAGCACGTGCTGACTAACGTTTGGCTCGGATCATCTTCAAATATTATATTTCCTATATATTTTCTGTTTGGCCAAAGTCAACAATAAGCGACAAAGTGGCCGCACGTGCACTGTTCTCCTTTTCTTTCATTTTTGTTAGGTACATAGCCTGTTCAACTCCTGACTTCCCTGTTTTTGGCCAAGCAGCAAACGTCCTGGCCAAATGATTGATGACATTGCGTAGCGGGAGGAAAAAAAAAAATTCACTTGTTAGCGGTAAACCAAGCCGTTTACTTTCCATTTGCCGGATTCTTCGCGAAGCCTGTGAAAATCTCTTTGGACCAAGTTAATAAATTGTTTGCTGTATTTGTTGCATTTAGCGCCTAACCAATTTCGGCTCGAGCAAAACTTTGTAATGAAGTCGCTGTGGGAAAAACCTTTATCACAATGCCCATCTTGCCTTAGTTACAGTCAAGACACTTTGTGTGCGCACATTTGGCAACACAAATAAAGAATGACTGGGTAAGCAATAAAATGTTATGAATTTTTAGTTTTTAATTTTTAGTTGATGTACAGCAGTCCCTTACTGCTGCGAACGATTAGTAAATTATGGTTATGATTCAGGATAAAGAACTTCGATTTACAAATGTTCAATATAGGGAAATTTCACCGTGTTCCTGTTTTTTCTTCCATTGTTCTGTATGCAAGGCACGCAAATTTGTTGCCAATAAGGAGCCGAAAACAATTTTTATAGGGCTTGACTGGCAAGATGACTGGGTTAAGGGTGTCACGAGGGGTAGGGACTGGTGGCTCGAGGGTCCGCCAGAGGGGAGTCCATTTTCCTATGCGTGCTGCGTGCGCTTCTGGTCGTGGTACTTCCCCTTCGCCTTCTTCTCCCCGGACTTCCTGTTTTTTGGATGACGCCAAGGGTGAGATGGTGGCTCAGAGACCCTGGAGTTGCTTAGCTACATCGGTTCCGGATCCAGAATGTAGGTCATGTTGGACTCTGCCAAGGAGAGAGGCAGTCACACGCACACAAAGACCAACTTCCACCACCCATACAGTGCCAGAATTCATTATACATACACAGAATTTTCGGATGTTGGACAGAGTAAGTCGGAAAAGTTGGGGGGGGCGGTACGAAAAGAGCAGGAAGGAAAGCAACACTGTTTTCCATGAATACTTTAGCACTGGCTGTAGGTGGGCGTGGTCTACAACCTTCCACGCCTTCGGTATGTGCTTTATTATAATAAAAATTTCATTAGAAAATTGAATGTTGATGTGTCGCATGTGCCGCACTTCTTTTTTCGTTTTTTCACACATCATCCAATAAATATTGCTGTAATGTATCCTTCACAATTTTAAAAACATTTTAATATCCATTTTATGGATATCCATTTAAAAAAATTGAAGTAAGGGAATAGGTGGTTTATTTATTACCCAGCTTTTTTTTAAATGTTTGTTAAGCGAGCCCAGAGAAAGACTAAAGAAAATAATATTGCTAACTTAAATTATTTAATATTTTTTAGCTGAGCTAAATTTAATATAGCATTCGTTATTTTTTGGTTTCGAAAACACTTTAGGATAAAATAGAATAAAGAAAGATCAAGTAATAATTTTGATTTAAAAAAAAAAATATAGAAATCTCAAAAAAATTGCTTATTGACTTATGAATTTCCTGCCACTTAAATTCTATTAATTTAAAATCATAATTTATAATTTTTTTTCAAGTCGTCCCATTTCCAATGAGTTGGAAAAGAAACCCTTTCGCAGGCAGGCTAATCATCTTGGCCGCAAACTTTTCCACTCAACTGTCTGGCCATGGCCACATTGCGTATACGCGATACGGGCCAAACGGACCGCTATCAGTCCAGCAATCCCTGCCCCAATCATCCCAGACAAATGAGGGTCCCTGTCAATATGAGTAATAGCTCATCAAAGTTTCATTTTAAACCTCTTTTTTTTTTTGGATACCTTGTGCTTTGTTGTTTTTCCCACACTTCTCGTGCATGCAAATCATGTAGAGCATGTAGGAAAATAAAATGAAATTGGGAACTTTCGACAAACCATTTAACCCGAAACTGAAAGTATGACAAGACAAAGTTTTATATACGACCAGATCGCTGGTGTGGCAAAGGCAAATGGTCTTGTAATACATTTTTGGTTATAGACGAGCAGATATATATTTATGGCTGTTTTGGGCTTTTTGTCACCCCAAGAGTCAAATGAAAGTTGTGACACATGCAATAATTTGATTTTGCTCGCAAATAAATCGTAAAGATTGGAGAATCAACAAAGTGCAAACAACTGAAAACAAGTTTCGGGGCCTGCTTTCGTTTTCGTTTTCGCTTTCAATTTTCAACCTGCCCCCAAAAAAACACAGGACCTGCTATCCCTAACATGTTTGTTGTGGGCGTAATGAGACAAAAGCCACCTCATGCCGCCCGTGGAGCATGTTTTATCGATAATTCGTGAGTGCGACGCAGAAAAATCACCCACCACCCCCCAGAAACCACTCCACTCCATTACATTCAACCCCCAAGCCCCAACCACCCACGCACTCACATCCATTTAGTCTGTATAACAAACAAATGTTTTTTGTATGTGTCAGGCGCCGGTTTCCTTTATTTTCCTTTTCCCATTTTATTATTATTATTATTTCTCTTTGTTTTTTTTGTTATCCGAAAATCGGTTCTTGCGGACGCTCAGCTGACACGAAACTTCAGTGAATACATGTATTTGGTTATACACGGAAAGAAATCTTGTATTTTATAAGCAATATATCTTTCTCACATTGCGGAACAGGTTCTAACACTCTTCTAATTGATAAACAGAGAAAACAAGCTAAAAAAAACATTTTAAATGGGTATACAAATTTGTTCATTAAACTTTTTAAAATTGCTTGCTTTTTATCATATTCTGATCCTGTTTTTGCTCCTAAATCCTCTCAATTTAAGGATCAGTTATTTATAATATTTTTTTGATAAAACATAATTATCGAATAATTATTGTTCTGTAAGTTTTCGTACCAAAAACATTATTTTAAATTTGACGAAATAATTTAACCAATAAATATTCTTTTTTTTTATAATATAAAATTTGTTGATGTGTATTCCAATTTCCAGATAGGTTCCGTTCGGAAGGTATTGACAGGAAATTGGAACCGGTGTCCCAAAGGTGGTGGTGTTTGGCTTTCCTTTTTTTTCCGGGCTGGTTGATTTCTGAGCTGGGTGTCATGTTCGTGTCGAAAATGGAGACATGTGCCCAATAATCGTCCCATAAAGCTAAAAATAATATGAAATTTATTGCTGTAAATGACAAAACTAAATTTACATACGGAATATGTCTACACATTTGATTTATTTGTTTACCTAAGACGACGGGATTCTTGGAATTTATTGATTGGCATTAATTGGGCCATTAATGAGTTATGTGGTGAGTTCATAGGTGATATGTCCTTGAAGGCAAGCTACGAACTTTTCATTTTCCGACGGTCAATTATCATTTCTTGGTATTGTAGTATTACCATCATTACCCATAAATTATATACAAATATTATACAATTAGCGTGACAAATATATCTCATGCATAATGCAGCGCAATGGAAAGTGTTGACCAAGGAATCAAAAATGCAGCTCAAAACATGCTAGTCACTGAGAAAAGCCTTAAGCTTATTAATAGCAAACGAGGAAAAGTCAGGGAAAACAACGGAAAATGTCAGAGTCATGTCAGAAAGCGCATTAAGCAAGTGGGTAGGGAAAACTGCTTGGAAAACAAGGCGAGCAAAAGTTAAATGAAAATGGAAAATGGCAAATAATTAGCAAACAACTGCAGGAAAAAGGAAAATGAAAAATGAGAGAAAATGAGAGGGGCCTTGTCTGGGCTCGCCTTGCTGCCGAGATTACGATAATTATATTAAAAATAAACTTTTTATGGTATTTCATTCACTTTTATTATTATTGCCACAGTGTTTGACCTTGTGTAGTTCTGAAAAAAAAAATTGCGACAATGGAAAAACGACAATAGCAACAAATAGCGATAAGCATGCCATTCGCATGACATGCAACCCATTCAAAATGTCCCAACTAATTAAAGTGCACTATAAGTTCTGCCCCTTTTCTCCCTTTCAAGCCCTCTCTTTGACTCCCATTCCAAGCCCTTTCGCTCACTCCCATATGAGCCCTCTCTTTCACTCCTTTCAAGACCTCTCTTTCTCCTTACTTCAGCAGTGTATTTATCATGTTTAGACTTTGCATACTTTTGGGCAGGCAGGCTAATGCAATTCATATAAAAAAGCCCACGTAATCGTAACCAGAGCTTAAGCTGCACTTTATCGCCAGGCAAATAGAAAGAGGTCAAAGGGGAGGGTTACAAAGGTGCGATACAAAACTGAAAAAACAACAAACGCATGCGACCTAACAAAAACAACAGCAAACAGCAATAAAAGTATGAAATATACATACATGGAGAAAAATCCATGCCATGTGAAACACGACTTCTGAATACACTTTTCGGCACAGCTTTATACATATGTTTTTCCCATAATGAAGTGAAACAATCAAAGGGCATTTAGAAGGCAATGTACTTTAAATTGTATTTTGGAGGCGGAACACTTACAGTTTTACATGGAAATGCAGCGAAATGAGCCCGTGACATGACATGCCGACGCAAGTCTGAAATGGAAATGTGAGGAGCCAAAATGGAAATGGGAAAAAGTATACTGAGAGAAAATCCCTCAATGATCGTCCAAAAAAAAAAATTGTGGTTGAAGGTATAATTAATTTTAAAGTTTCACTGCCCAAAGCAGATTAAGAAGGTATTTAAAAACGAATTAAAATTTAAAGCTTCAAGAATTTCAAGAATTGTTTTGCACAGTACCCTAACTTTTTGTTTTTTGTTAGTTTAATAGTTCATATTTTTGTTCAAGTCAGTTCTGATCATTTTAATTAATCTGATAATAGTGTAAGGTGCTATTATAAATATACAATTTCTTTTTAAATCACTGCACTAAAAATTACTATATTAGTAATAATACGGTTATTATTGTTAAGTATTATGTAAGGGTGTAGACAATAAAATACAACTTCAAAGTTCTTTATCCAAAATATAAATTATTTAAAAGTTAGTATATTGATTCTATAAAATGCGGAGCATTTTGATTGTTGATTTAAGAGTTTTTTTTAGTGTATGGATCTGGGGACTTTAAACTCGCATGATGGACTGACAGGCAGAAGACTGATGGTTCTGACGCATGGAGAGCAAGAAGGCCAGAACGAGTGGCAGCCAGTGCGATAACTTTTCTACTTACCAATACTAAGAATTACTAGCCTTGCTCCTTCCTTACTTATTTTAGTAATTGTATTTCTCTAGCTTTATCCTGCATATTTGGGTCTGGGGTAATTACATATATAAGGTGTTTTCGGCAAGTTCATGAAATTTATATACCAAGGACATGTTTATTACAAAATTTCGGCAAATGATACTAATGGAACCGAAAAAATCTGAACTGAGAAGTTAAGCAAAGAGGTGAGTAGCGAGTTACCATGATATCATCAACTTAACTTTTAGAAAGTGTAGGTAGTATAAAATGAAACTATATCTTTCTAAATACATGCCTTAAACTGACCAATAAACTTTTTTTAAAACCTAACCCAACGTACTATTTGTTAAACTGAAACCCATCTGCTCCAATTTCACTACAAACAGTTTGTGTTTATTCATTAGCTGATTAACAAAGCGTTGTCACCTTTTATTTAATCGGACAAACATTGGCTTTGGCTTTTTCCACCACCAGATTTTGGCAAACACATGGCCAAAGCTCAAAAAGTTTAACGTCTGCTTGCCGTTCTCGAATTTCACTTTCGTTGGAGTCAAATATTTGCGTTTGGTAAAGAGGTGACAAAAGGTAACTACTATAAAATTGAGTGGTCCAATTGTTTCAAGGCAGTTAAAATCGAAGCACCAATCCGAGCGTTTCAAATCGAGTGGCAATATGAAGTTTATAATATTTGTTATTTCAACCTTGTTGATCCTGAGCCTGGCATCTCAACTGGAGGCTCGCACGGGCTTCTATTGCCTGTGGAGCACTAAAAGGACCTGCTCCAAGAACACCCCCACATGCATCCGTCTGCAAACTGGTGTTGATGGGGCCAATGCGGCCATCTATTCATGCAAATACTATCGCAACGATTGTCAGTATCATCTCGATAGTTGCAAGGGCGCTACAAGTAAATATTTTTGACAATACATATTTGTATTTTATTTATTAAAACCATAAAGTTCAACGGCGAGAAAAATTCTGAAACTAATCGATTCGAAAATTTGAAATCACTTCTTAAGGTAACTAAATGTATGCAGTGAATTAAATAATATGGTCTTTCGCAATAAGTCCCTCGAACATTATGACTTTAAAAATATTGCTGCATACTTTTAAGCACCTGTATAAGAGATTTCAAAAACCTAGACATCAAAAAGAGAAGAATAAAAAAATGTAAACTAAATTAGCTTCAATTTAATTATTAGTTAACTGAATTACGTTTTGCAATTTTAAACCTTAAAATATCACCAACTAAATTTAAAGCCATTTTTCCTCATTTCTTGTATTTTCAGTGTATGGCCAATTGGGAACAACAGCTAATGTACTCACATACTGTGTCATGAATAGCATCCCAATTGGGGGAACCGGAGTTTGCACATAAACTAGTTATATTATTCAATTTTCATACCTCAAACTATTCCAATTTGTATGGTTCAATGATATATACATCCTTATTTATTAAAAGTTTTTTATTTCATTTAATATATTATATTGCTGACTTACCGCAAACCACACTTTGTTTAATTTCCCGATTCTGTCGTTCAATCCCATCGGCGATCAGACAGCAAAGTGATGCATTTAAACGGTTTTGGTTTTGCTTTGGAAGTCGTTTAGCTTTTAATGGCTTTCACATCGCCATGATGTATGCTTTAACAATTTCCCATTTTTCCCTCTTTTTAATTGCATTCGCATAAATCGCACTACTTGGGGTATTGGGGGAAAACGAGGGGAAAATTATGGTTATGGCCACGCAGACAAGCGCAATGGCGCTCACGTACATGCGGACAATGTAAATTTATGGAGCTTCGCTTTTTAGTTTGCAATTTTTCGCCATTTTCTTTTTTGTATACAGCGGATGTGAATGGCGAACGCCTGCGGATGCAATTAGAATGGCACAGTGAACACTCTCACACACACGTAAAAAATTGTGTGTATGACTGAAATATAGGTCATTACGAAACATTTCGGTGGTGAAAGTTCAAAATATTTGCATAATTTAAGAATAAATCTATTCAGGGTGGCTTAGTTGGGCTAAAAAATGTACGCTCGTTTTCTTTGGGAATTTAAAACGATATAAGGAAACAAGGAAATGCTATCTTAACACACTGTGTTATTTATCACTATTTAATTAACCCTGCAGATTAAACAGTTTTATAAATGTTTGCGTGCTATAAAAAAATACTAAGCTATTTTAAGAAGAAAAACACGCTTAAAAAACACATTTGCATTATGTCGACAAAATGTGCTGTAACACTTTTTAATAAACTAGCAAATTGAGTAGGACTTTATTTGTTTGTTAATATATATACCAAGATAGACACGCTTTAAAAACACATTTTCATTAGCTCGACAAAATGTGCAATACAAATCCGACAAATTTAATGTGTTTAATGTTTCGAATCCCAAAGTATATTTTCCTTGCTTAATTATATATAATATTGACTTAAGTTCAATTTGAATTTATAATTTAGAAATGTTTGTAAATATCAAATATTGATTCACTTAGTTCTTAAAAACTTTTTGTTTTGAGAAATTATTTAGACATTCGTTTATTTCAATCTTTGTGCACATTTTATGTAGATTTTTTATTAATAACTTGGTGTTATACATTCTTAACCTGTTCGTATAACGATGGGCGTGACACTCGATGAAGATGATGATGACCCCAGAATGGAGGAAAGTATGCTGGACAGTGCAGAGCTGTAACTTGAGCTGGAAGACGATGAAGTTGACGTGGAGAATGTGCTCCTACAGGTGCCAGTATTGTTGACACTTATGCTAGTACAGTTGCCGATATTAATCACATTCCAGCCTGTGGGAAAATATATTTAATATAGTTATGTATTTATTCAATAATTTAATAGTGGACACTCACTTGATTTACTAGCCAGGCAATTGGCACGCTCCATGAGGCACCTGTTCTTGAAGCGATGACACCTGCGGGTGGAACTCCAGCGTCCACAGACATTGGAGTTGGCATAGCAGCTGACGGAGGTGGTCGTGCAGCGGGAGGCTGGAGTGGAGCTGCTACTGGACGAACTGCTGCCGTTGCCAAAAATAATCAACGATTTGCGGTTGGAGTTGCGGGCATTCACCGACCGCCTTCTCACAGTCCCAGCTCGGGCATTAGTCCTGGTCCGCGACTGTCGTGACTTTCGGGAAGTGCCATTAGCCAGTGTCCTGACCCTCGTATTTTTCTGATTTTTTTGGGCATCGGTCGCCACGGCGATCAGAGCGATCAGCACTAGAAGAGCCAACGTCAAACGCATTTCAATGTCTAATTATTTTCCCAACTGCGTTCTCCTTTATTTATACTCCCCAGTCTTTAATTTTTATTGCCGACCTTGGAAGATGTTTACCATCTTTTTCTCTTCCTTCTTTTTTATATTTAATACATACACTAAAACTTTTTTATAATAAGTCTTCTGTTACCTAGTCTTTGTTCATTCCACGTGTCTTTAATTTTGGGTTTCTCGCAATTGTGTAAATATATCATAATTCATCTAGCAACGCCAACAACACGGCACGTGAGTGACTTTAAAATATTTATAGATCTACTGTTTAAATAAATGAAAGTGTTTTGCATTCTTAGATACATTTTCGAAGACATACTTTTAGGGTTTTACGTATTCATTTCTCTAACTATAGTAGAAATGGTAAATAAACCATGAAATGCCAACGTCAGTGATAACTGTAAGAAAAAGGTTTAAGTCTTATACATTTTACAGTGGCTATTTATTTATTTAACATAATCCCTTCCAAAATCTGAATTGTGTGCAATATTTTTTAAAACAGATTATTAAGTTTTACGATTTTATTTTGACTTAGATTGCCAGCAGCTTTTGTGGTTTTAAATATTTCGACAGCCACTTTACGCTAGATTTTCCCACTCTGATTGAATGGCAGTTTCCTGCATTCACGAATACTTCTCGGGATTTCCGTAGTAGCCTTTCCAAGCCCAACCTGTGTAGCCATATATGTATCTCTCCACTTTGGTTGTGCTTTGTTCCCGAGGAGCATAAATCGCCGCGGACTGATAAAATGTCTCAGTCGAAGTGGGCTCCAAAAGGGATTCAAAGCCCGGCACTCCTTTAATGTGATCAGTTATAAGTATCCAATGGTGGCCGCCTTAATTTTCTTATATTCATTTGCAGCAGTCTTGTCAATTCACAGCGCAGTATGGGGAAAGCTCCAAGTAATTATATCCTTTGGGCTAGGTTCAAGTGGCATGTACTTAACAAGCAGATAAATGCCATCACTGCACCCTTGGCTAAGTTAAAAATAGTTTTTTAATAACTCTACATTTGTTTTTAGAGCTACATTAACATAGCTTGGAGCGTTGGAACTATAACGCTAGCTTATAAATTTAAATGAATGATCCAGATGATTCAGAAATTGACACCACAAATTTTTTTTGCATGTCATTATTTTTTTGTAAGTGTAAGTAATTTTTTTCCTGTTGTCATGCCTGTTTATTTATATTAATATTAATATATTAACAGCAACCGAAAATAATTTTATCGCTTTTCGTATAAAATAGATTAATAGTAAATTTTCTGCCTTTAAAAGGAGTGTATTTTTCTACGAATCAAATGGTGAAAAAACTTTACAAAATATATCCTGTCATATTTTACTCAGGGAGTCAAACTGTACAGGAAAATCGAGGTTTATTTTCTGGAGGATTTTGTAAGCTAGTGTAATTACTATTGATGTTCTAAGCACAATTAAATGCATTGATTTAAAACTAAGTTACTTAGATTGTTACGAAAGAATAAAAAGCATACCCATAGTATTTTAAAATAACATTTATAGCTGTATTCTTAAAGAAATAATTAACAAATTGATTTCATTTGTATTGCTTTAGTGATTTTTCAAGAGAGCCTTGGAGAATTAGTCTATAGAAATCTGAAGCGCGTTTAGTTACTGCCACAGGGTCGAACCACATCGACAGGCATTCCACGGCAGAGGTTCTGGTGCACCTTACGATAGACTGGAAAGCAATTGGTTTTGGGATAGAAACATTCATGATTTTTGAACTCTCACTTACATTTTTTTGGGTCACAGTTGCTCAATTGTCGCTGGCAGTCGTTCTTGAAGGCCTGGCAGATATTGGCTTTTCCTAAGCGGCCACAGGTCATCTTGGTGGATGTGCAGCTCTTCTGGACATTTCGACGACAGGGCTGTATTCTGCGGGATCTGTTTATAGAGCGGGTCAGTTCATTACTAACTGGAATCTCGAACCCTTCATCCGTGGTGCTGCTATTGCGTCCGGAAACAATCATGAAAAATATCGCCACCAAGATGACACAAACGAATAATGATGCTTTCATCGTGGTTTTAACTAATTAAATGGTTTTCAGTCATACGGGCTTTTATACCACCCCATTGTTGTTTGTTTTGCAAAACGGCAAACAATGTGTTCTACTTTAATACATTATAGTGCGATTTGTCAGCTGAGCAAACAATAATTGAAAATTTGCAAAAGATTTTGGGTCTCCAACCTTGAGTCTTATAGCCTGCATTATTGTTTTACTTATTTAAATTTCAAACAAATAAATTAATATCAATAACGGATAACGGATAACAAAGGCTTTGTAGAATTTAATTATTTGGGTGTAAAATGTTTGTTTATTTATTTGAAAATTTAAGATCAAATAAATAAGGAAGCGAAGGTAATTTCAAATTTAAGGTTTTATGGGGTATTTTAGAGATTTTAGATTTTAAGTAAGGATGATTAAAGGTTTTAATTTTTGATAGATACTCAGTTGATGATAAATGTATAGTAAGTCAGATTTTCTAGAGTATTTTTGATAGCATGCATTATACTCAGTAAATCCCAAAAATGTTTCAAACACCTTCGTTTATCTTTGTTTTAAAAATGTTTATTAATAGCAACAAGAATCAACCCCTGCGGATAATAATGGGTGTAATATTTGAGGATGAGGATGAGTAGGACGATGATCCACCGCAAATGCCTCGGGATCCCACGCTGATTCCGGAGCACTGGGACAGACTAACAGCCGTATATGTGGTGGAACTGGCGCAGGTCTCGTATCGCAGGGCGCAGCTGTTCCTGAAGCGATTGCAGAGATTGGAGCGACCATAGCGGGCACAGGTATTCGTCGTGGAGTTCCAGGCGCAGTTCCTGATGAGACAGATCTTGGGCGTGGAACTGCTACTCGAACTGCTGGACAAAAAGGCACAGGCGTATCCCAGGAAGAGCAGGACTAACGACAGACACAGAGCGCTTTTCATTTTGCTTTTTGCTGATCAATAATGGACTTAACTGCCAATTCGCTTAATAGTCCGGACTATTTATAGTGCGATCGTGTTGCTTAGCTTAGAATCCAGAGAGTATGGCCAAGACCATAGTTTCTAGCACCTGTGCAAACGTGAAAAGATATGGTGAGAGTTTGGCATTTGGCATTGGCAGATGAACAAAACAGGTGCGACACCTTGGATGGCTATAGTCCATTGCCATTGGCTTACGCAAATTGTCATTAAATAACTCGAAATTGACTAAAGGTTCGTGTAGTTCGAATACATGTTTAAATTTTAGTGGATTGCTTTCACCCAATTTAGGTCTACAAATATAGAGGCAGAAATGGAGTAAATTTTTATGCGAAAGGTCATCTACTATCATTCCAATTTTGTAGACTTTTTGGTCTGTAATTCTTTAGTTTCTCAATGTGCAAAAAAAAACACATAAGAAAATAGAAAATATAAATTTTCAAAGGACCTACAATCTTTAGTTAGTTAGTTAAGGTTTGACATTTAAAATACATGATTTTACTTTAGCACATCCCTAAAGTATGCAATAAAAGATCTATTTTTTGAATATACTAACATTTGGGCTAACATTTTAATAACATTAATTTATATATTTTAAGGTAAGTTTAAATAAATTATTATATTAAGCCCTTAATCTTTATTTCGGTAACTAACTTCTATGTGCTTAACTAGACAAAACCCAAGGGGTTTTTAGTTAAGCAAGCAGTAATTGATCAGGATTAGTAAATCTGAGAACTAATTCCAATTACTGTTTTTACAACTAAAAACAAAGCTCTAACAACGTGCGTAATCCCCTTGTGTGTTTTTTCCCATTGCACTTAGAAGTGCGTGAACAGAAAAAACAAAAATCAATTGAAAATCATGAGGAAAAAATTCAAAACAATCAGTTCATGTGCACTTTGTACTTATTTCTCTTTGCAGTTGAGTGCTTTGTTTTTGTTGTATCGCTTTTTGTTTGTTTATTTATTCCATAAACGCACTTTTATTAAATGCTGTCGACGGCATTGTTCAGTGATTTTTGGTCAAGGCCACAAATCAGTTTCGTTAATTGGCTTTGGATTGATTTTTTGAAGAGCACTTACCTCTTACTGTCGAAGTTATTTGGGGAGTTATTTAAGTTGGCTTCTAAGCGCAATCAGCCAAGTATTTATGCAAAGAAACCGTTTAGAGTTTGGCAATTTGCCAGATGGAGTAATAATGCAAATTTATGCATTATTTTGTGAACAATTTCGTGTGTGCGTGTCGCGCAGCGTTTTACAATTTGGCCCCAGGCTCTGGGCCAAGTCAAGCATCCATTTAGGCCAGCAATTAGTTGCCCATTGAGTCGATAACATGTCTAAGTCATCATATCGCACAATTCTGCCTGCCTGGCCAACTATGTCAACTGTACATAATGTGTGGGTAGTGAAAAGTTTGCCACACTTTCTATTGATTGGATTGGATGTGACTTCACCGTATAAATGGGCGCTTAAATGGACCGTGATTGAATGATCGCTCTATTAAGCAAACTAAAGTTTAGCAAAGAGAGCAGGTTTTAAAGTAATAAAAGCCATCAACTTAATGACAATACTTTGTGTTTGCCCTTGCTTGCTTATTTAAAAAACACTTTAATTTCTACAAATACGCTGCTTTTATTAAGTTTGCTTCACACATTTATTTGTGGAAATAACATCAATCTAATAAATTGATTTATAGTAATCATAAGGCCTCTTTGAGTGTCAAAATTAGTTCAATTGTTTTTTTATGTATTTTTAGTTTATGTTAAAGAAAGATGTTGTTATTTCTCTTTATTAAATTCCATTAATTTAATTAAATAAAAATTTGCTGTATCTTTAATCAACCAATTTCATAAAGGTTTTTCAAAAGACCTTAAAGATAATACTTTAATAAAGTTCATATCATATCATCATAACGAAATTCCATAATTACAGCTTGGTATACCCCCTCTTAAAGTGCATTTCCCCTCAATGGTTGTCATGATTTTGTCGGGCACTTTTAATGAAGCTGCTGCCCATTAATCAATTTGCCAGACTCAATTAAGCTATAGTCTCTAAACAAAAGATCAATTATATAACACGGACCAGTGGCATTCCGAATCGGATCATATTAATCAGCCATTTGGCTGGTGGCACTGAAAATTGATGAGCACAAAAGGAGAAGAAATGGCGGATAAAAAAAAAAATCAGAGAGAAAATGTGGAAAAGAGCTGAGTGGCTTGTGGCCTGAAGATGCCACTTGAAGTTGCAGCCAACGGGTTTGGTTTTTCGCTTGTTGTCGCATTGCAGGAAGTTGTAAGTTGTCAGCGGGGTTGGCAATGCCAGCGGTTGGCCGCATTTGGTAATGGCCACAACCAGGGGATTGATGACGTCTCCTTCAAGTTAAGGGTATATAAGATATACAATCATTTGGTTGAAACAAAAATGTCGGAATTTTGTTTATACAACAAATGGGACACCCAGAGGTGTCACTTAAAACACTATTATTATGGACATGCATGGTATTAGTGTAGTATGGTTTGGTCTGAATGTATAAATTTTAATTATCCTCGTTTATCAATTTTCGAACATTTTAAAATGGGTTAATTACAACCACTTCCACTAATTGAACGATTCCTAAAAGTTTTTTCTCGGGTTCCGAAATTTAAGCCATCCCAAATAAAATGGGTATCAATGTAGTCGGATTGAAAAATGCAGCAACTGCCTTAAACAGATCTCTATTTGATTGCTGGCGCTGCAATAAAAATTATTTAATTCGGATGCGGCAAATGAATTTGCTGGCTGCAATTCGCGTGATGCTGCCAATGCGGCAATCAGCGGCGACTGCGCCCCCGTTTAACAGTAAATCGGAAAGCGGCAGCAACGGCAGCAATGGCGGCGGCGGCTTAAACAACAACAAACTTTCACTTTCGACCGCCTTCGCTTCGTCTCGTTTCATTTTGCTGAAGTCCGTCGGCGGTCCGAACCGCTTGCCATTTCAGTTTTCTGTTTTCGGGCAGGTCAGTTTCGGCCTGGTTAGTTAGTTATTTGCTGTTTCGGCTTCATCCAGCGAGTTGATGGTTGAGTGCATTTTCGATTTGGTCTCCTGTAATCAGTGGGCTCTTGTTGTTGTCTAAGAAAATGTTGTAATATAATTTTAATTTGTACCCAGAAATGATTGCCAATTGCCGCTGCCTAATGCTGATTATACAATTTTTTTGTTTTATTTTCCTCAAACGAAAGTGTTTGGAGCGTTTTAAAACCCGTGTATTACCTGGCTCGCACAGATCTGAAACACACAATTTGTGTAATTATTTTTTGGTGTCTTGGCCCGGCGTTTAGCTTTAGATTTTGGGATCTGATTGACCTGGGGCGGATCAGTGAGCAGGGGCATTTACTGCGCCCATAAGCGATGGGCAGGCCCCGCATTGAAGGTCCGAGGTCTTCGAGGCAGCCCGACGAAAAAAATAAACAATAACAGGTTGATAGCCGATAGCCAAATATGTGGACACTGCAAAAAAATTAAGGGATTTTGCATGAATAATGTCAGATTCTTACTGAACATTCAAAATTTTATTTTATAAATAACTTATAAATAAGATATATACATTTCAGTCAATTAAAATAAATATAACAAATATTACAAAAATAACTTATCTGATGAATATATGACCACAGGATAACTTTTAATTCTATACAACTAAATTAATTTTTTGTAAGGTTTATTAAAAGTAATTTTTAATATAGGCCATGGAAAAAAATCTTTAAATATATAAGAAAAACAAAAAGGACTTAAAATAAACTGTGTATTGGTTAAATTTTGTCAAGATCAAATATTTTAGTAAAAACGATCATAACATTAAATTCTAGTTATGTTAAGCTTTAATAAAAATACATTTTTAATAAATTTTCTCAAAAATCGAAAGTTAATTCATTAAAAATAAGTTAAGCATAACTTTTTCCTGTGTAACTAGTCCTATGGACATGAGCCCTGAGGAAATCCCAACAAAAATGCAAAGCGGAGCGCGCATGCATGAGGTCGTCGCACTTAAATGTCAAACGGTTCAGTGCTCTAATGAGTGCCCCCGAGCAAATCCCCCCCCCATCAAAAACCAAGAAACCAAAGGCCCCTGTCGAAGATTGGTCAATTGGATCTGGCCAAGAGGCGGTGAACGGCTGGCCGGGCCAAATCTGCTCGCCTATTGCCACCAACTTGTCGCAATCGTGTGGCAAGAAGAATGACCAAAAACAAGACGGATTTGCAGGCTGTCCAATTAATACAACTCATTGCGAGAGGGGCGACGAGGCAGAAGTTGTCGCTGTAATTAATGCGTTTTATGTTAGACGTCTAATTAAACTTATGGCTCTGTTAGGCAGGCACCAGAAAAAAGTTGAAATAACCATAGGTATAGGGATTATTTTAATTTTAGGAAGTTTAAATTCAAAGATCATACACAAATTGACTATAATCCTTTTAAAATTGTCCAATAACTTAAAAAGAGAATATAGGAAATGAATTCATATTTAAGTTCTTTAAAACAATAATGATAATATTATATTTTGTATAAATAAACTTATTTAACTTTTTCATGTTCAATGTTTTTCATATACCACAAAATAATATTAATATTAAAATTAATGTTGAAACTATGTAATGTAAATCAAAGTAACAAATGTAAACGATATGATCAGTTCTTTATGCCCAATATCATAAAGAGATGAGAATCATATGTAAAAGCTTAAAAGTAACGGCTTATCTCTCTTCCCTCATTTATAACCTAATGAAGTGTAGATAAGCGCGACTCTACCCCTTTTTATAAGTTAGTCAGCTTCAAGCCGCAGATCACGCGAGTTATGTATCAACCGTCAAAATATACTTAGATAATTAAAGAGCATTTATTCTTTAACCTACAAGAACACGTGTTTCTTTCATTCGCTGCTTCAGGTTATGGGCCCAGACCATATACCCGCGCAATAAAAGAACACTTC